GCAGACGCTGCCAGGGAGTGCACACCTGTCACAGGGAAGGACGGAAGGAAGGAAAGAAGGAAGTGTGTCAGATAAAGCAGAGGGGGAAAAAAATAACTTGCAACTATTTAATTCTATTTAATTATTAATATAATCACTTAATAATAATGGCATTTTGTCAGTGACAGCAGAAGAACTATTTGAAAAGTGAAAGAAAGGGGGGAAAATGTCATTTTGTCAGTAAAAGAAGAAGAAAAAATGTCGCCGCGTCAGAAATAGAAGAATAAAAATATATAATAATCCTGCCATTTTTCCTATCAAACATCTAATATCGTCCTAAATCTCTCCTCCTTTTCATTGTTTCTCTCAAGTAACACCTCTAAATACTTAGGCACTACTATGACGTATGTGTACAGCAAGTGCCGTAAAACGCTTACTAAAACTAAAACATAACTAGCGCATTCAGAAGTAGTGTGGGGGCTCTAGTGGTCTTGAGGTAAGGTGTTGACCTCTCATTCAAAGGTCCCTGGTTCGAATCCGGGTAGCGACCAAAACATGTTCTTCTCTAAAATTGTCTCCTTTCACCTCCTTTCCTGCTCTCTAGCAATGTTCTGTTGTCTGCTTTCATTTCCACTTTCTGCCCCCACCTCCTTCGCCCCATCCTCTGGGCTCCTGATTCGTTCAGCAGCCTTTCTACTGCTACTCCTTGGCTCCTCCTTACTGCTGTCTTTCTACCACACCTCTGATCTTCTGGTGGGAAAGATCTACACCTAGCCTTTTCGGACAAGGACGAAAAATCTCGGAGGGCCCGTGTGCAAGTTGCGCACGTTAAAGAACCTTTGGTGGTCTAAAATCGATAAGAGTAGGCTTCGGCCGCCACTCGGGCAAAATTCAAAATTTCCTACTAACTGAAAAATTAGGTGTGTCCCGCGCGCTCATATGACCTTATGCAGTTGCGAGCGCCGTAAAACACTTTACAAAAACAAAAAACAAAGAAGTAGTGTCGACACTTGCCATATTAAGCTGTCACTCACTACAGCGATGCTGGAGATTTATCATGGAATAAAGTGATGGGGCACACATTCTATCTAGCGTAATCGTAAAGCCTGCGAAGGATTACTTTATTCCGTTTCCCTTTCTCACCGTTACTTTCTTTTCACACACCCCCCTCTCTTTTTTCCCTGCGAAGGATTACTTTATTCCGTTTCCCTTTCTCACCGTTACTTTCTTTTCACACACCCCCCTCTCTTTTTTCCCTTTTCCTAATTATACATAATTATACAAACACACTTCCTCTGTCCTGTCCTATGATACCTTTTCCTGCCCAAGACTCTTCCCTTTACTGCTCTTCTCTTTCCTGTCCTATGACTCTTTTTCCTGTCCTGCAACTAACTGTTTCCTTTCCTTTCGTATGACTCTATTTCCAGTCCTATGACTAGGACTCTCTTTCCTGTCCTATGACTATGACTCTCTTTCCTGTCCTGCAACTAACTGTTTCCTTTCCCTTCGTATGACTCTCTTTCCAGTCCCATGACTCTCTTTCCTCTCCTATGACTCTCTTTCCTGTCCTATGACTCTCTTTCCTCTCCTATGACTGTCTTTCCTCTCCTATGACTCTCTTTCCTGTCCTATGACTCTTTCCTCTCCTATGACTGTCTTTCCTCTCCTATGACTGTCTTTCCTGTCCTATGACTGTCTTTCCTGTCCTGCAACGCGACTATTTCCTTTCCTGTCCTACAACTCCATTTCCTGTCCAACAACTCCCAATTCCTGCCCTACGACTTGTTCCAGTCCTAAAACTTTTTACCTCTCTTTACAACGACCTTTCCCTGTCTTACAACTCCCCTTCCCTGTCCCACGACTCTCTTTCAAGTCCTACAACTTATCCCTGTCCTACGACTCCGTTCCCTACCCCTCACCCCCCCCCCCCGGGGTTTCCTACAACTCTCGGGTTCTAAGACTCTCTTTCATGCTCTCCAATACCCTTTCCTGTCCTATGACACCCTTTCCATTCCTTGACTTCCTTTCTTGACCAACCACTCCCTTTTGTTTCCTATGACTCCTTTTCAAATGACTCCTTTTCAAATGACTCCCTTTCCTACGATCCCCTCCCCTTTCCTGTCCTACGAGTCTGTCCTTTACTCACCCAACAAGTGTGCCGGGTCAAAGGGTAACCCATGGTTGTTTGGGCTAGGGGACGATTTCTTCTCATCCTTGCTCATGGCTGCGGCAGGGATCGTTTCTCCGTATCCACAAGAGAGTGGGGGGATGACTAGGCCACTATAACATTATTGAAGAGGTTAGCGTGTGACAGGGGGTGTGGCATAGAGGTCACGAGGTCACAAGGTGAGCAGGTCAAAGTTCAGCTGAGTCTGAAATGCACACTCTGCATAGGTTTTGGCTCGTTTCCGTTCTTCCTTCGTTCTTCGCTTGATTTTTTCGGATTTCTTTCTTCTTCTCTACTCGTCTGTCTATCCTCCTTAAGGCGGGTGCCTACATGTCGGAAACCTCAGATGTGAAGACACGTTTTCTTCCCATCAGCTCGATGGATGGCGTCAAACTTTCATTGTATTCTCTGAGTGATTCTGAAAGAAAAAATACACATCTAATTAAAAATCTGAAAGAAATAATACTCACACATAAAGAGAGGCAGAGAGAGAGAGAGAGAGAGAGAGAGAGAGAGAGAGAGAGAGAGAGAGAGAGAG